GGCGGCTCCTGCCGGGGCCGGCGGCTCCGGAACGGTAAGAGCAGGAGGCGCAGGTGTCCCGTGACTTCCCCCTGGCCTGGGTGGCGAGCTCGTACCCACGAATCCAGCGCCGCCACAAGCTCCGAGGGGAAGAGAGTCTTTCAGGCCTGTGGGCTCCCCCTGCTCCGGACTTGGCGGAGGCCTCCCGAGTTGGAGGACCTGTTTCCTGATTGGCTCGTTCCCGGTTGGGGGGGTTGGGAATCCGGAACGCATCCTGATTGGTCCGGTGAGACCGTTTTCGCCTCCTCATTGGCCAACCACAGTGGGAGCGATTCCCGTTTCAAAATGTTTGTTTTCCTGTTTGCTACGTGCCTCTGCGCTGGGCTCCCCTCCCCGCATCAAGCTTGTTTTAATTGACCTTGTTGGCGAAGTGGCGTGCGGGGTGGAAGGCTAAGTGGACGGAGCTTCATGTTTGGGGAGATCGATATAAATTCGGTATCATCCATGCACTCCTTCGATTATTTATGCTGAAGATCTGCTAAACTAGAAAGCACCAAACAATCTTTAGGCCCGGAGTGTCTATTAATGGGTTTATGATGGTAGAATAAGGGCGAAGATAGAAGAGCGTAGTCGTCGTCATCACGTTTTGCATACAGGGACATGGGCTCTTTGGTCATGTCCCAGCACCCCAGACCCCCACCCCACAATTATCAGTTGGGAAGGGAGAGCCATTAGGTTTTACTGGAATTGTAAGTTTTAGGAAGGCCAAGGCAGTCCTTGTAGTAGCACTCTCTTGGAGTGAGGTAATACTTGGAGTTCTGTTAATACTCAGTTGGCCAAGATCTCAAAGTCTAAAGGGTGACCTGGAGGGACAGAGTAGAACTGCCCCTGTGGGTTTCTGAAGCAAACTGCTATGTTTTCGTCTCACGGGATGGCTCGTGGGTTTGAACCGCCCCATCTTCAACAGCCAAGTGCTTAACCTTTGTGCTACTGGGGCTTCTTAGCCTTTTATTAAGCACCAATAAATTGATGTTTAGCAAAGAACTTTGTATGCCATGCGCTGCGTGCACCTTGTCCTGTGGTTAACCATCTCCCTGGGCTGCTGCTTGACAGAGATCGGGAAGTAAACAGTCCACTAACCCAGCCGATAACTACCATCTGGCCCGGAGGCGAACTCTGCAAGTGGTGGTGAGCTCCTTACTGACCGAAGCAGGGTTCGAAAGTGCCGAGAAAGCGTCCGTGGAAACGCTCACAGAGATGCTGCAGAGCTGTGAGTACTGGGAAGTGGCCTTAGGTCCTCTCTGCGTCATCCCCTGCCTTGGTTCTGAGTCCTGCCTTGTGACCCTGTGAGAGAATGTCAGAAAATGTCGAGCCTAGGAAAGTGGTTCACAGGTGTTGGAAATCACCTGGACCTGGGTATAAAGCATCACTCTGCCACTTACTAGCCGGCAGATGTCACTAGACGCGGTTTTTTATTTTATACACATACACAGAGAGAGAGAGAAATATTTGCCACAGTGGAGCATAGCACCGCACAAGCACTCATTCCATTATCCGTCAAAGGCTCATTGTCCTCATGGGTCATGTCTGCCTCTGCATGAGAGGATGACAGTCAAAGAAGGAAAGAGAGTTTGAGTTTTTCAACAGTTCTGTTGACGCTTCATCCACATGTCAGACATTTCAACAGTTCAGTCATATCAAGAGTTGTACTGTTACCAACCACAATCAAATCTAGAACATTTTCTTCTTGTACTCATTGGAGTTTTAATTTTATGAAAATAGCTTTGACCTCGTGAACTTTTGAAAGCGTTTCAGGGACTCACAGCGGTTCCCAGATGGTTTGGTAACTTTTTTTCCCCCGCTAAAGGAACTGACTGAGAATTCCCAAAAGGCAAGAATTCTGTTCTTAAAAAGATCTTGGAATTTTGAGTTTAAAAAGGTCTCCCTGGATGTATTCCTCTCTCAAAAGCACCACACGAGAGAGCTTTTTGCCCTGAGAGGAAGTGGCTGCCGTTGAAGGTGCTGCTGCTGTGGAGGAAAGCTATGAGGATTAGCTGTGAAAGGTGTGGAGATGGTATTTAAGGGCCTGCGCTGGACGCACCAAGGGGCCCCAGACGAGTAAGGCCCCTGGAACTCGGATGAGGACTTCAGCCCGAGGCTGGGGTGGCTTATGCTGAAGGGCTGGTTGAGACGTAGGCACCTGCTTGTCCTCAGGCACTGGACATGGAAGTTGTGGGACTGTTTGCTGCCTGACTAACCCCGGGTTCCGCTGAGCCCGGTCTTAGACGGCTGCCTGTGGGTGGTTGGCTGCAGTGCTGTGCACATCCTTGGTTATTCCCAGAGCTCCCAGCCGAAGCGCAGGCAACCAAAGGAGGAAGATACTTCCTCTGCTGCCTGGTTTATTTCTGGGCTGTTCTCCCAGGGTTGGTGCTACATGTTCCCACAGTGCACAGATGCTGCCCGCCAGGTTGGTGCTTGGGGACTTGCTCGGTAGTGTGGGGAGTTGGTGGTGGATCTTCAGTTAGGGCCTCTTCCCTTACTTGTTTTCATCTTCTGAACCACCAGGCCCCGACGTCCGTCAGCAAGGCCTTACTCAGCATGCCTTACTCGTCTGGGGCCCCTTTGTGCGTCCAGTGAGAGCTGAGACCTTCCCCAGGGAAAGACAGTTGTGTGGGTGTGTGATAGCACCGCTGCCCGGCATCCCTAGAACCTCCTTCCACCACGGCCAAAGCCCATGCGTGGAGCCCGGCCTCCTAAACTCAACATGCTTGCTTCCTGCAGAGAAATGCTAGCATGACTGTTCGTTAGCGTCTCCCCTTCAGGCGCAAGAAAAACACAAATCCGTTCACCAGAAAACAAGACTTTGTACCTTTGGTCCCTTCTTAGACATTTCGGAAATCGGGAGGAGTGCCAAGTCTTACTGCGAGCACACGGCCAGGACGCAGCCCACGCTGTCGGATATCGTGGTCACCCTCGTGGAGATGGGTGAGTAAAGTGTCCAGGGCCCAGGTCCTCTCGGCAACCTAGTCAGAGTCACAAGAGAAGGAGGAACCGCCCCTGTTGGCCGTGTCAGCTCAATGGCCTTGCGTCAGCGTTTTTTACTTTTAAGCTTTCAGGCGTGATGGAGAGAAGATTCCCCTGAGAGGCCACCCCGACTCTGTGGAGGGTTCTGTTGGAGCTTCTCTTGAGAGGCGGACCAAGAGAGAGTTGGGAGTTTTCCCGACCACGTAGCTCTCATTTCCATGTTCCGTATCCGGTGGTCTGGATAGCGAGTCCTCTTTCCCTGTCCCTTAGGTTTCAACGTGGACACGCTCCCTGCTTATGCGAAACGGTCCCAGAGGATGGTCATCACTGCCCGTAAGTGGTTTCGAACTGAACTGCCCAGCAGCGCCCTGGGGGTGTAGTGCTTACAAGTTGGGCTGCTAACCACAAGGTCAGCAGTTCAACACCACCACCTACTCCGGGGGAGAAAGATGAGGCTGTCTACTCCCATAGAGTTACAGCCTCAGAAACCCACAGGGTCGCTGTGAGTCGAAAGGACTCGATGGCAGTGAGTTTGGCACTCGGCTCAGGCTCGTGGGATGGGTTGATTGAGAGGGCAGGGGAGGTTGGGTCACTCCTTGTTGGTTGCAGACTCCCTTCCCGCTTCCAAGCTGCCTGTCACCGTCTTCAAAGGGGCAAAATAAGATCCCGCCGAGACGCGGAGTCAGCAGAAGGAGGCCCGTCTCTGAGCTGCTGCAGTGGTTCTTGTGCCTTAAGTCCCCGAAGAACAATCAGTGCTGTGTGGAAAACGGGGGTGTCCTTGTTCTTCCTTAGATTGGGGGGGTCAACAAAGTGTGCCCTGTGGGGGGCCGAGCCCAGCTGCTCTGTTTTCACAAATCAAGTTTTATTGACGCGCAGCCATCTCGCTGGTTTCCTTGTGCTCCGTGCCAGCTGTCAGCAGCTTTGACAGAGCCTCTGGCCTGTGAGGCTTACACTCTCTGAACTCTCTCCCTTTCCCTGGAAAGCTTGCTGAGCAAGCTGAGCAGGGACGGGCTCAGCTAGATACCTCCAGAGAAGCAGCTGGGTGTCTGTTTGTTATAGTTCTTGCCTTGGTGGGGTCTTTTTAGTTTTTGCAAAGGTGTCACTTTCAAAGTCGTCACTTGCTGCCGTTCAGCCCACACGTAGCTTCCCTGGCTCGCAGCGTACCTCTGTTCACACTGTGTATAGTGTCCGGGGTCCTGAAAAGAGGCCAATTAATCTGTCCTCTCCCCTAGCTCCTCTGCAGCCCGTTTGCAAAGGGGACGTCAGCGCAGTCGCCGCCGCCTACCTGAGAGTCCTGCGGGCAGCTTGCTGTGGGTGGGAGCGCCAGCCTGCGACCCCTGACCTCCTCAGGACCTTGAGCTACTCAAGGCCCTTTCTGCAGAGCAACTCAGAAGCCCCTTAGTCCCAAGCTGGAGGCCCAGCATCCACGTTGAGGAAAGGCGGGTTTGGGCAGAGACCGCAGCTGTGGACAGTGGGGCCGTGGGTGGAGGAGTAACTGGTTGTGACTCTGTTGCAGCTCCAGTGACCAATCAGCCAGTGACCCCCAAGGCCCTCACAGCGGGGCAGAACCGGCCGCACCCGCCACACATCCCCAGCCACTTCCCCGAGTTCCCGGACCCCCACACCTACATCAAAACTCCGGTGAGTGACGAGGCAGGGGTGGTGGTGGGGGTGATGGGAGGGCTGTGACCGACGCCAAGCAGAGTCAGTTCCTGCTGATTCTCAGACTGCAGCCCCAAAGCATGCGTGTGGGTGAAAGAGCTGTCAGGCACTGGGGCTGTCTCAAGGAGAATGAGTCATCTCTCAGACGGGCTGATGAGAATTAAGTTTAACAAAGAAATGGAAGTGGAGCCCGGTCGTACCTCTCCCACAAAACCACAGAAACCACGGGCCATGTTCAACAACACTGGGAGTACCGTCCACAGATGGGCTCGAGGGAATTATTGGGTGTGCTCCTCTGGAATTTTCAGACTTTCCATCGTTGTTTTTTAAAACAAGGGGGACCCCTGAGGCCATGACCCGGAGACCCCCTTTATTACTTACTTATTTATTTAAAGATCATGTTGTTGTTGTTAAATCATTTTGCTGAGGGCTCTTACCACCTCCATCCATGCATCCATTGTGTCAAGCACATTTGTACATATGTCGCCCTCATCCTTCTCTAAACGTTTTCTACCTGAGCCTTTGGTATCAGCTCATTTTTTCCCCTCCCGAACCCTTGATAATTTATAAATTATTATTTTTCCATGTCTTACACTGACAGATGTCTCCCTTCACGCACCTTTCTGTTGCCCATCCCCCAGGGAGAGGGTTATATGTAGATCATTGTGATCAGCTCCCTCTTTCTCCCCCCACCTTCCCCATCCACCACTTGGTATTGCTACTCTCATTTTTGGTCCCGAGGGGTTTATCTGTTCTGGATTCCCTGTGTTTCCAGCTCTTACCTGTACCAGTATACAAGCTCTGGTCTAGCCAGATTTGTAAGGTAGAATTGGGATCATGATAGTGGGGGGAGGAAGCATTAAAGAACTAGAAGAAAGTTGTATGTTTTATTGGTGCTACCCTGCATCACAGTTCTTTATTTTCTTGCATTACAGCTTTTACAACATTCCACACATCAATTGCATTAAGCACATATGTGCATAGGTTGCTATCATTTTCTAAACATTTATTTTCTGTTTGAGCCCTTGGTATCAGCTCCTCTTCCGCCCCCCCCCATGGCCCCTTGATAAATGATAAACTATTATTTTCATGTCTTACACCGACCACTGTCTCCCTTCCCCCACGGTTTCTGTTATTCAGGGGTGGGGCTGGGGCAGGCTGGTTGTGTGTCAATCGTTGCGAGCAGTTCCCCCTTCCTCCCCAACTTTCCCTACCCTCCAGGTACCACTATTCCCATTCCCGTGCCTGAGGGCTTTAGCCGGCCTGGATCCCGTGTGCTGTGAGCTCTCATCTGGGCCTGTGCCCATGCTCCAGGGTAGCCCGCAGGGAAGGCGGGACTGGGGTCATGATAGTGAGGAAGCCTCAGAGAACCAGAGGAATAGTGTGTGTTTCATCGGTGCTGTGCTGCGCCCCGGTCGACTCGTCTCTTCCTTGTGACCCTTCCTTCTGTGAGGGGCTGTCCCATTGTCTGCAGATGGGTTTGGGGTCTCTGCTCTGAACCCCCTCGTTCTCAGCAATGTGGTTCTTGTTTGTTTGTTTGAGGTCTTCTGATGCCTGTTACCTGATGATCACACTGTCTGGTGTGCTTCTTCCATGTGGGCTTGTTGCTTCTCTGCTAGATGGCTGCTCATTTAGCTTCAAGCCTTTAAGACCCCAGATGCTATATCTTTTGATAGTCTAGCAACATCAGCTCTCTTCACCACATTTGCTTGTTTACCCATTTTGTCTTAAGCGATCTGCCGGAAGGGTGAGCATCACAGAGTGCCAGGTTGTTAGACTGCCAGAGTGTTCTTGCATTGAGGGAGGGTTTGATCAGAGGCCCAAAGTCCATGTACTGCCTCAGTGTTGCCATATAAATATATGTGCATAGGCCTATACCTCTATGTTTACGAATTAATCTATTTACCTATATACACACCCGAGTTTAGAGAAACCATTTAAATCTGGACCTGAACCCACTCCCAGAGATCACCTTGGAGCCCAACAACCCACAGGCCCATCCAGTGAACAGGAGCTCTCGTGAGGAGCAATCTCCTCAAAGCACCAACTGTACAAGAGCCAAAGGGCAGCATGTGCCCAAGAACAGAGTTCAGGAGTCAGGGACGATGGGCAGGTGGGAGGGGGGAACCCAGGAGGGAGCGGCCCGAGTGCTGTCAACAGTGAGGGGTTGAAATAAACACCGGGAAACACAGTGTGCGTGCATTGTTGAATGGGGGAACTGACAGTGTGCATTATTGAATGGGGAACTGATTGGCTCTGTAAATGTTCACCCACACCACAATAAAATGTTCCAAGTAAATAAAAGTTAAAAGGAAACAAGCCTGCCGCCCTGGAATGGGTTTTGACTCCCAGCGTCCCAGTGTAAGGTTTCCGAGGCTGTGAATCTTTATGGGAGCAAATAGCCTCAGATTTCTTCCACAGAGCAGCTTGCAGGTTTGAACTGCCAACCTTGGCGCTCATCGGTCCAGCGCTTAGCCGACAGCGCCGCACTTTAAAAACACTTCACTAGTCGTGTGAGAGACGCCCTGGTCGTGTTATGGGTTGCATGTTTGGCTGCTAGCCACAGGCTCAGCAGTTTGAAACCACCAGCTGCTCCTCGGGAGAAGAAGGGGGCCTTCTGCTCCCGTCAAGGTGTGCAGCCTCAGAATGCCCGAGGGCCAGCTCACCCCGTCCACAGGGCTGACTTGCTGGCAGTGAGCTTGGGGTTTTGTTTTGGTTTTTAAAGGTCTTGCAGTGGAACGCTAAGTCTGAGCGAGGACGGGTGAAGTAGTGTGCTCCTGTGGGCCTCACTAGCACTTTCACTGTGTCTGGGCAAAGTGCAGTGTGCAAAGGGGGCCCCAGAGGCAGCTCCACTCTCCAGCCCCCGCCCCTCCCTGCACACAGGGTGGAGGTGTAACTATGGCTGCCGGGAGGGCTGTTGGGGCAAGTCCTCCGGGCCATCTGTCCAGACAGAATGCAGATGGGAGGAAAAGGTGACTTAGCACGGAAACTGACCACATGTTCAGTGTATGTTGGCTGCGTGCCGCCTAGTCAGTGCTGACTCACGACACGCTGTGACAGAGCACCGGGCGTCTCTGTGGAAGCCGATCTTTAGGTCTTTTCTCCTGGGAAGTGGCTGGTGTATTCAAAGCACCTGCCCTTGGGCTCTCCACTGAGCGCTCCACCATTGTGCCAACCCCCTTTTGCCAACATTTGCCGAGCTTCATGATGTAGCCTGGAACCAAATAAGGTTAGGTGCCTGGGTGGCACTAAATGGTTTGCACCCGGCTCCCAACGACAGGGTTAATTGATTGAATCCACCCCGAGGCACCACGGGAGAAAGGCCTGGCAATCTACTTCTGTGAGGTTGGAGCAGTTGAGGGGGCATTGTGGGTTAAGTGTTGGGCTGCTAACTGCAAGGTTGGCGTTTCAGGGGATGGCAGACAAGCCTGTCTGCTACTGTGAGGACTTACAGCCTCAGAAGCCCACGGGGGAGGTTCTACTCTGTCGGAGAGGGCCGCTGCGAGTCAGTGCCCACTCGGTGGCAGTGAGTTGTTAAAAAAAGGACAGTCAGTGAAAAACTCGGGAACAGTGACAGTGCTTCCAGAAGCCTCTCTCCAGACCGAGACAAGCAGGGACGTTCTCGGTCCTTGCTGACATGTCACCTTTGTCCTCAGCACTGGACAAGGGTGTGGCCACCTTCTCCGTCGGATGCCATCTCTTTTTGACCCCGTGATGTGATGTGTCACCAGAGGGGGGCGTGCTCGCCCTCCTGTCCCCTTCCTTCCTTGTGCTCACGTTCACACCTTCTCCCTGTACGTCTGTGAAGTCTGCCCGTGCCGTGAGGGCTGGTGTAAGAAACAACCCACCGGTGCACTTAGCAGCCCCTCCATGCATGTCAGGGTGTCAGTGTACGCCGAGGGGACCTGGTGGCCCCTGTCAGCGCCTGAGCTGGGTGCAGGGTAAGAGGGCACCCATCCCAATCCCCCTTGAGGTTAGCGAGTGTATAACAGACCAGCGCTCCCCGTGGCTGAGTACAGGCCTGAAGTACATCCCACTTGTTGACATCTTGCTCTTGAAGGTGAAGATAAGCATGTATGCATGGTGGTCACGCTGTCTTCTTTCCGCCTCCCGGAAGTTGCTGTTTGAATCCTGGCCCCTGGGTCCCTGAGAGGGTGGACCAGGAGCCGTGCGTGACCTGGTGCCCGTGCTCTCTCCCCAGACGTACCGCGAGCCTGTGTCGGACTACCAGGTCCTGCGGGAGAAAGCGGCGTCCCAGCGCCGCGACGTGGAGCGGGCGCTCACCCGCTTCATGGCCAAGACGGGCGAGACCCAGAGTCTCTTCAGAGACGATGTCAGCACCTTTCCGCGTGAGCATCCCCTGCCACTCCCCCGCCTCCCTGTCTTGCATTCGAGAGCCTCCCACCGCCGGGGAGGAAGACACGGGCCTGCTGTTCTTAGGGGTCCGAAGCCTCGTCCTCACATTCTTAGCTCCTTTCCCAGGCTGTCAGGGCCTGTCCCCAGCGAGGACCCTGAGAGGAACAGCCTCTGCCCAGCTGGCCCACACAAGGGGCATTGGGTTTGGTGGGCCTCGAGGGACAGAAGCCAGTGGTTACAGGATCTCCGCGGGTTGTCCTCACTGAATATGGCGCCTGATGTCTGACCCAGCACCGCAGCGTGCCCCAGGGACCCTGCCACTCGGACTCCGAGGCGCTGTGTGCTGGGCAGTCGACTCTGGCTCATGGCCGCCCCGTGTGTCAGGGTGCCCCGGGCTGTCATCTCTGCAGAAGCCAGGGCCCCAGAGCCTCGGGCTGGGTGTGAACCACAGCCCGGTCGGTGCTCAGCCACGGTGCCACCAGGGCACCTAAGGCCGGTTTTCACAAAGGTGAAGGAAAGAAATTGGCCAAGAAACTGCTGCCACCACCCCGGTAGGACATCAGGACGTAGGACCTAGAGAAATGAAGTCACTGGCCCAGGGTCACACAGCTAGTGGGCAGCATGCACACCCCCTCCTTCTGAGTGCAGGACCCCCACCTCGGCCAGTGGGCATGCGCTTAGCCTGGCTCCCAGCCTCTGCCTCTGCCCTGCCTGTGCATGTGGGGCTTTCCGTTCTTCGTCAGTGTTTGTTGTGTCAACAGTCTCCTCCCTCCTCCCCTTTCCTTCTGGGGAAACGGAGGTTCTCATCCACCGAGTGTCCACGAGGGAAACCTCAAGTCCAGCATTGGCACTTGAGCCCATCAGGCCGGAAGTCTCGACGGCCCTGCTCTAGAAATAAGACACCGTGGCCTTAGCTGGCCCTGGGCCCCAGATCACAGAGCCGCTGCCTTGCTAGGGTTCAGGGGTGCTGTCGGCGCTGCCTGGTAAACGCCGGACTGCGACTCTCGTCACCGGTGACGGGGAAGATGCAGGCTCAGAAATCTGAGAGGGGGTTTAATTGACTCGATGACGGTGGGCTTTCGTGGTGGGTGCCCTAAGCGTGGCCTCTGCAGTCACACTGCCTGAGTTTGGAACCCACTTGGCTGTGTTTGAGGAACTTACTTGACCCCTCTGTGCCTTCGGTTCCTCGTTTAGAACCAAGGGTTCTAATTGCACTTACTGAGCATTGAAGCCGGTGGCCCTTGCCTGGCCCCTCGTAAGTGCCCGCTCCGTGCAGCTGGCCGCCTGGCTGGCAGGGCCGTGGAGCAGATGTGCCTCTCTTCCCTCCTGCCAGTGATCGCTGCCAGGCCCTTCACCATCCCCTACCTGACGGCCCTGCTTCCCTCCGAGCTGGAGACGCAGCAGATGGAGGAGACGGACTCCTCAGAGCAGGACGAGCAGACGGACACAGAGAACCTCCCTCTTCACGGCAGCACGGTACGTTCTGCCCAGGCCCGTCTCCAGCCGGTTGCCCCGGGAATCAGACATTTGCCTGTTGCCCCAGATCTCTGGCTTTACGCCAGGAGCTTGCATGACGGGTCCATGAAGGCCCAGGTGTGACCTGCCTGCCTACTGGAGCGAAATCCACGTCCGGGAGAGTCACTCACTCATTGAGCAGATGCTGAAACGAGCACCTGCCAGGGCCAGGCACAGGGCCAGGTTCTGGGGCATTCGCAGGAAACCAAGTAGACAAAGTCCCCTGCCCCACGGAAAAAGGGACCACGATGTAGCAGGAGACAGGAAGTGTGTGTTGTGGGCCTGGGGCATGGGACAGTTGGTAGGGTGGCCCGAGAAGGTGGCAGGTGAGTCAAGATGTGAAGGGAGTGAGGCGTGCAAGTCTCTGGGGCAGAGCTTTCCGGCAGAGGGAGCGGCCGACGCCAAGGCCCTGAGGTGAGCGTGTGCCTGCCGTGCTGAAGCGCAGCCGAGACCAGACAGAGTGGAGGAGAGGGGTCGGAGACTCCTGGAGGAGTCAGAGCCTTGAGGGGACCTCAGTGTGGTTAAACCCCACGACTCTCACTGTTGACATTGATCCCCATTGCGTAGAACGGATCCTCATCCCAGGTGCCCTGTGTTACGACGTGGCTAGTGACTCCATGCTCACAGTCTGGCTGTCAGACCCCCCTGGCCACCGAGGGTGCCCGGCAGACTGTTGGCTCACAGGCGTGAAGGGAAGGAGGCACCCAGAGTGGTCACTAGATGGAGCAGCCACGGAGTAAGGGTTCGACCGACCCTTACAGTCAGTCAGCTTTCCATACATAGCCATCCTTGAACATTGGCCCTCGTGTGTGTGTGTGTGTGTGTGTGTGTGTGTGTGTAAAACCCCTGTTGACCCAGTGGGCTACACTCTGGGCTCCTCACCACAAGGTCAGCAGTTCACAACCCCCAGCAGCTCCACAGCAGCTAGATGAGGCTTTCTGCTCTTTTAAAGAGTTATAGTCTCAGAAACCCACAGGGTCACTAGACTCAGATCCACTTGATGGTAGCGAGCTTGGTTTTTATTTTTGGGTTTGGGTTTTGGTGGTGGTGGTATGTGTGTGAGAAAGAAAGAGAATGAATTTGGATTTTATTCTAAGTCACAGTAAGCCTTTGGGTATTTACATTTCAGATTGTCAACTTTGTATTCCGCACTTTAAACGACTCATCAAACTTCCCCAGTCGTTCCCCCGCTGAATTCTCACCCACACTGAATTCTCCTCCCTCCCTGACGGACTGTCTTCCATTTCATCCTGGTTAGCACCGGTCAGTCCAGCCCAGTGGTTCTCAACCTTCTAGTGCTGCAACCCTTTCATACAGTTCCTCATGTGGTGGTGACCCCCCAGCCATAAAAGTATTTTCGTTGTTACTTCATCACCGTCAGTTTGCTACTGTTACCAATCGGGCGACCTGAGACCCACGGGCTAAGCACCACTGGTCTAGCCATGGCCCTCTTCCCTTCCTAGCTCTGCCCGATCTGCAAACTCAGATGGAAGTCTTGACTGACCTTACCCTGTAACAGTGGCCTCAGGAAACACTTGTCTTCTTGAGATTGGCTGGTTCCATCGGGAGTTTTTAATCAGACAAGGGATGTGATTATATGATTTCTGTTTTCAAACGATCCTTTGGCATGGTTGTGGAAGACGGTGTTTTGTTTTGGTGGTAAGAAATAAATACGAGGGGGCTTCAAAACATTTGTGGAAAAATCGCGTTGTCTTTCCGTTTCGTTTTTCCATGAATTTACGGAGGCCCCTTGTCTATGGGACGCTGGTCTTTCGGGCGTGTGCATCGACCATGCTCGTGCTGTGCCCTCCACCACTGTCCAGTGCCGCGTGCTTCCATCACCCTCACCTGGGACTCGGTCCCCGAGCACCTCTCACCCATCCTCCCCTGCTCACCACGGAAAGCTTTCATCGCGGGGCCTTTGTCTCTCCCGCCGCCACCTCCTGCAGCGAGCTGCCTCAGTGGTCGTAGCTGGGTGGGTGTCCCGCATAGCCTCCAGTCCAGAGGAACCTCACGGCGACCTGTGTGCCCTCTGATGGGGGGCGTTGGGTCAGATAGGGCCTGGCACGTAGGCCTTTGTAAGAACTGCATTATGCTTGCGACTGATGCCCAGGGCCGCGGCCAGCTGCCCCTCCTGAATGGAACCAGATGCATTTGGTGCTGTCTAGTCCGACAGCAGGCCTCTCCTAGTTGCTGCCATTCATAGTGTGCCTACCTGCAGCACCCGACTCTGGATTGACGTCTCCCCTGACGGAGCCCAGCCCGTCACCAGGGGGCACTACAGCACCTCTGGCCTGCCCTTGGATGTGATCTTTCTACCTCCACCCCATCTCTCTCTCTCTCTCTCACACACACACACACACACACACATATTCCAGGGAACTAGATGATATAAAGGAAATGGCCCTAAGCCCCCACAGTCCCGAGCCCACCCTCTGCTGGTCTGCTTGTGTGGGCAGTCCACGCGGCCCGGGATGCGAGATTTCTGTGTGAGCAGTTGGGCGCTTGACCGGGTTCCTGCAGTGGTGCGGCCCTTCTCCCCTCCTTCCCACCACATGCTTCCCTATGAATGTCAACTGGGGTGCAGACCCACAACAGTTTCTCACACCTTAACATACTGCTAACACACCACCAACGTTTTCTTTATTTTAACCGGGAGCCTATTGAATACACGTGAACTTAGAAGTGCTTCCACAAACCACATTTCCGCCAAAAACAAGCCATTTATTTGTTGATGAATTGGGTGAAGTTAAGCGGAACAAACGTTCAGGTTTACATTCGGTCATTGACATGTATTGTGTTTCCGGCATTGACTGCTGTCTCCCCACTGTGACTGCGGTCCGTCCACTCCCTCCTGTATACCGTTTCCACCCTCCTCTCTAGGCCTCCTGAACTCTGTCCTCCGTGGAGCAAGTGCTGGGCTCTTGGTCTCGAGTGGTCCGTTGTTCTGAGGTGCAGGCACCTCGCTAGCTTTCTCTCCCCCCTTCCAGACCTGTGTCCTTTGGCTGAGGCCTGAGCCCTGGGGGTGAGTTCATTTCCAGACCAGAGGGGGGACTCGGGGCCAGAGTCTCAGGAGATCTGCCCGGCTCAGTCCGACCAGTAACCTTGGTCTTTGATTTTGACATTCCTTCCTCTCTGTGAAGGACCTTGTAGTGTGATCCATTTCAGAACAACCCGTGGTGGTCTCTGGGCACCCTCTAATCCTGGTCTCACAGCCATGAAAACCGACCTCAGGGTAACGGAGCTGACGTCCCCTTGGCCCAGCGGTCCCTTGGGCTGTTTCCTAGGCCTTTGATCTTTAGCACTCCTCTCTGGCGGTCAGGGAGAGGCCAGCAGGGCCACTGAAGATGGCCACGCGGGACCTCTCAGACCCTCGTGGGTGTGGAACACTGTCTTTGTGAGCTCTGCTATGCCAGCCCACTTCCGTGCCTCCCAGGACTGTGATCCTGATCTGTGGGCGTGTGCTCAGTTACGTCTTTCTTCTGAGAGGCTTCGACCATCCTGACAGAAACTCAGCCACAGTGACGATCTCCCGAGCACGTGCTCGTCGGGAGCGTGTGTGAACGCGGAGCTTTACCTGAGCTGCAGTGAGTCTGTCCTGTGGGACATCTGCGGTGGTGGCCATGGCATTTTACACCACACTCGCAATCTTTTCTTGCTCTTGTTCATTTCCTCTCCCTTGCCCAATGTTGAGACCGCTTCTCCCCTTTTCCGCTCTGAGCCCTGGGCCAGCGGCTCCTTGGTCTGACTGCACAGGCATGCCGTGAAGAAGGCAGCCCCACTGGGGCAGAGTCTGGGGCGTGGGCTGCGAGTCCCCAGGGCACTGTGCCAGCCCCACAGGCTCTCTGCTGGGCCCGCTCCCTGGTGTGGAGCCAGGGCTTTGGGTCGTTTTCTTTCCCCCACAGGGGTGGGCTTCTTTCCTCCCTCCCAAGGAGTGCAGCGTTCCGTGCTCCCTGTCAGGTCCCCTCCCCTGCTGGCCAGCGGCCGCCTGGCACCTTGGGAAGGCGGTGGTCCCCAGGCGTCAGAGTTCTTCGTGGGCACAGACCAAGGCAGCTCTCTTGGTGGTGGGGTAGTGACCTGTTGGGCCATGAACTTCACACCTGCGGCTGCTCTGGTGTGGACGAGCGGCTGTTCTCCTCACAGGCATTTGCCGTGTCCCTGATGCAGTCCATCAGGCATGGTTTTGATCTTGCCCCGCACAGGACGATTCGGGAGCGGAAAAGGAGAACGCGTCTGTCCTGCAGCAGAACGCGTCCTTGCCGGGAAGCCGGAACGGGGAGGAGAGCATCATCGACAATCCCTACCTGCGGCCCGTGAAGAAGCCCAAGATCCGCAGGAAGAAGTGAGTGTGAGGCGGGCCAAGTGCACGGAGCTGGCAGTCTCCTTTGTGCCTTGGCAGAAAAGAGGCTCGCCGGTGAGTGGGTGGGTGGGTGGGAACCCTGAGGAGATGCCTCTGGTGAGAAGGCAGAAGTTTCTTCCCTTCCCTCTCCTGTGGCCCATACAGTCCTTACTTGAGTGTCCTGCAGCCCGGGGCCCAGGAGCAGCTCCCTGCCTGTGGGAGAGCAGACGGCTCCTCCGCCCAGGCCCCATGAGTCCCTCTTCCTCCCAGGTCCCTCTCCTGAGCTGCGAAGGAAGCCTGGCTCATGCGGGGACGCCACCATCCTGGGCTGGAAGGTGCTGGAGGCATGCGTGAGGGGGCCTCCATCTGTCCCTGTGGCTGAGCGAGCCCCGCCCGGCCAAGCGGTGCTCACCTTGGTTTGGGGGTTCCCCCTGCGCCTTTGGGCTGAGGAAGAGAACAGGGTGATGCTGAGGCTGCTGTGCCACACGGGTGGGGCTGGGGGGCAGCTGGTGACCTTTTCTGTCCATCCCAGAACTGCTGCTTTCTCTGAAGTCTGGAAGACGGGAGGGATGGTGGCAGGAAAGTCAAGGCCCTCCCCTGCTTTGCTGACCACCTGAGAGACCGCCCAGGTTGAGGTTCAGGGTGTCTGGCCCCCGGTGACCTGCAGGCACCGTGGAATGAATTGATCTCCCAGAACCACCTCCTCAGTGAGTCTTCAGCTGGCCCCCCAGCTCCCTTGTTGAACTGACTGGACCTGGTGCTGGCGGGTCGTTGGACCTGCCAGGGAGCCTCCGATTCCCTCGTCAGCCTGTGCAGAAAGTGCCTCACACAGGAGCCTGCTCTCTGTGGGCTATGTGCTTGGGGGCCACCACGTCCCCGCCCTCCTGGGAAACATGCTTGCTCTGACCAGAGCCAGGGCCCTGGGTGCCATGGCGCTGGTCTCCTGGTGGGAGAGCCAGACTGCCAGCAGCAGGAAGCCCGTGGGCTGAGCAGCCTGGCTGGGCTGGAAGACGGCGTGGACAGAGCCACGTGCCCCTCCTCAAGGCGCCCAGGGGCAAAGCCAAGGCTCCTTCCAGGAGCAGGTGGGACTCGCTCCGCCACAGCCTCCTGAGGGAAGCCAGCTTCATCCTCAGCAACCTCTACACGTGGGAAACAAGCGGCTGGGCCAGGAAACCGCCGGGCAGCCAGCCCTCGGCTGCTGTCCAGAGGGAGAAATCACAAATGGGGTCCCAGGAGGAAAAGTGGCAGCCACACCCGGAGGTTCAGTACAAGATGGTCAGGGGTCCGGGGCAAATGCTGTGTGGACGTGGGCCCCTGTCTCCTTTCACTTGCCTGTCAACGTGGTGGCAGGATAGGGGGCTTCCCAGACACTCCATCCTTGGCCTGGAAGGAAGGATGCTCTCTCCGGCCCTGGACCAGATAGGAGTTGGTGGTGACGCAGACCTCCTGCGGAGCAGCACAGCTAGCCGGGGACTGCTCCCGGCCTCCTGGTGCGTGCGGGAGCTGTGCTGGCCCCTTGCCCTGTGACTCGGCTCTCGGCGATTCTTGGTCCTGGCTTTGAGGCGCGGCAGTGCCGGCGTCCTCTGCTCTCAGAAGCCGCGTACCGGGCAAGCCCCCGTGGCACCCCGCTGTGCTGAAGGGCAGGGCGGGCTGCTGCTGGGGTGGCAGAGTTGGCGGGGATGGCTGTGATTCTCCCGAAGGGGGGCACTGAGACCCCACCATTGCTGTGTAAAAACTGTGCATACTTCTCGAGGTTTATTTATAAATTTCTATTTTTTATAACTTTGGAGGATTTGTTTTGGGGGTGGGGCTTAGGGGTGGAAAACCATCCGCAGAGCCAAAGGAAAAATGTATGTATATCCGCACATAGGATCAAATTAAACCTCTGTACGTGAAATAGCATCGTGAGCTTCGCACTTGACTTGTGTCCCACCTCCTATGGGACTAAGTAACCGGGAGCCTTAGAAAGGGTCCATTTGGGAGCCTTTCCAACCCAGACAGAGCTCCAGAGGATCAGATGCCCGGCCGGCCAGCGCCCACACTGGCCAGGCTTCCCCGCCCTCCGTCCCTGCTGCTGGCTTTCCCATCGCCGCTCTCCCCTGGAGCCTTTCCTACAAGCCAACCCGGACTGTGTCGTCGGGTTGGTCAGGGTCAGAGTGGGTCTGACCCGGAACCTTGCACTGTGAAACCAGCATCGACTGACAGGAAGTCCAGGGAGGTCCCCCGGACCCTGCTCCGGGCCTGAAAGCTCAGATTGGCAGCCGGTGTGATTTCTTCCTGGGGGCGTTATAGCCAAGAAATACAGAACGCCCTTCTCTGTACCCCATGGGCACCCCCAAGGGAGAGCCTGTATCTGGACACTTTAAAGGAGGTACCTGCATGTTCAGGTTAGAGGAAACGGCCCAGCTCTTCCTGCACCTTTGCACTCCTGTAAGCCGTGAATGTCGAGGGCACCCTCTGCCCCCTTTCATTGGCTGCGTGTGCAGGCTAACCACCCTCTGCTTAAGCCCTAATACCTTCAATTCCTCATTGTATTGGGAGCTCTTACAGGTGTCCTGACATCCCCTAATTCCAATAGTAAAGAAGTCTGTTTCCAAACATTCTCTCCTTGAACTCTGATCTCAGCTCCCTTTTATCCCCTCCTTCCCCCCCAGGAACCCTTGATCTCGTTATAGATTATTAACATTATATATATGTATGTATTTCACCTGTACTGTCACCCGCTCCCCTCAAACAAGTGGAGTTAGACAGTCATTGCTCTCAGTTCTCCCAGCCCTAAGTCTCGACAATTCTCTTTTTCATCTCTTCAAAGAGGTCTGTCATTTCCTACTGGACATTTCGGTCCATGCCCCACCTTGACTTGGGTTTTTATACATAGCGGTATTTACATTGGGGTTCGTCCTTGGCCACAAACAACCCACCTGCTCTAGCACCATTTGTTGACAAAGCTACCCCGCCATGGAACTGCTTGCACTTTTGTCTAAAATCCACAGAGCATCGATGTGTGGTTTGATAGACTTTTCTTTTTTTAACACAACCACTATGTCATCATCACCCTTAGAAATCAATAGTAATTATTCCTGTTCAGACTGGTGGTGATCCCATAGGACAGAGTAGAACTTCCCCATGGGGTTTCCAAGACTAATCGACAGGGAAGTGTATGGACTGAGCTGAGGCAGGTCAGGGCCCCTCTTCCTTGCACGTCCCTGGAGGTCAGCAGCTGCCCCCTAGAATGAGGAGACCCGAGGACAATGCCTGGGGTGCCTGACTCCCTGAGAACCGGTCGGCCTGCCTGCCAGAGCTGATCAACAACATCCTGGGCCACAAACCTTGCTGCTGCAGCATGGACACCCCCTTCTCCCCCCTTTCCTTTAAAAACCTCAGGCCCTAAACAACGCCTGAGATTCCCCTGGGCTACTTGCTAGAGCATGGGGCTTCGCCCAGGAGCTCCCCCTAATAAAGCTATTTCTGTTTCTGCTCTCCCTTTGCCCTTGCAGTTATCTTGTCCGTCTCCCGGTGCCTCAGTTTACCTCTCTGGAAGCACCTGGCCACTGCTTTCTCCTGCAGAGCGCTGGTGCGTTGGACCCACATACCTGACAGCAGTCATGTGTGACCAGGACCCCTTGAATTGTCGGTTACCCCCAAAGTAAACACTCATACTGCCCTAGAAGGTCAGGAGGCTGCGGAGTGGCCAAGCCACAGGGTGTTCCGGGCTTTCTGGTCACAGTCCCTGCTCCTTCACCTCCCACACTCCTGCCCTGGCACTGACTCCAGCTCTGTCCATCCCGTGCACCCAGCACCACCTTGGGCAAGGTGGTTCCCACCACACCCTCGCTCTTGCTCACCCTGGATGGGAGGAGAGGGAGCTGGAAGTGGGACCAGGTAAGGAGGGCATGATGGTGAGGGCAGCCTAAGCCGCTGACCCCTGCTCCTCTTCCATGGTGGAGTCGACGGGACGTAGAAGGGTTTGATGATGGACCTGTGTCAGAATAACTAGCCTCTGACAATAGCACAGGTCCACAGGGCAATTGTATGGTGATCATACAGAAAGATTTAAGTCATAGGAAAGGTAGGAGACAAGGTAAAGGAGTCAGACACATTTTATGGTAGCATGCTCACCTGGACGGCCATGATCTCAGCAGCCAGGTCTGCACAGAGAGTGGGAGGAAGAGAGAGAGGATATATTTCTGACCAAGGCTTATATATACTTAGGGATGTGCAAGCGCCCCGGATTACAGGTAACCACATATGTCACAGGAAGGGGTTGTACAATACAACAATAGAGGGGGACCCTCTAGGGGGGTACACGCAATAGGAAGGGTGCACATGTGACAAGATGGGCGGATCCTAGATCCAAGATGGCAGCCTAACCTTGGTCATCCTTGAGCTGGCTTGACCTGTTCTGAGCTGTGCTTCAGGAAAGCAATCCACTATCCTTATCAGCAGGGGAGTGGGCCCCACTTAAGGTGGGACAGACAGTATCTGATTGCTCTGGGTGGCTGATGCCCTGAGGGAGAATGGTGTCAAGGCAGCTGACCTCCCGTGCACTAGCAAGCAACATCCTAGGTTTGGCATATATTTGGGGGAGGCAACCTGAGGAAAAATCTTTCTGTATCCCACAGTACTCTAGCAACACAGAGAAAAAGGAGCCCAAGCTCTTTCTGGACTGGGCCTTTGGGAGAAGTGGCTCAGGGCCAGTGTGTCAGTCCGGGTGGCTAGAGAAACAAACCCTGGGAGACTCATACATGTAAAAGAAAGGGCTTTATATAAGGAGTAATTATACATTAAGAAAACATCCCAGCCCAGTGCAGATCAAGTCCATAAGTCCAATATTAGCCCATAAGTCTGATACCAATCTATAAAGTCCTCTTCAGACTCACAAAACACATGCAATGACACCGAATTCAGGAAGATCACAGGCCAGTGATTGGAAAGTCTTACGGATCCAGAGTCGTCCTAAGCATCTCAGTGCTGCCAGGGGTCTCCACGTGGCTTCTCCAGCGCAGGGCACTAGTGTAGCTCCATGTGTCTTGTCAGCTGCAATGCCTCCCAGGGAGTGAGCAGAGAGTGTCTCCCCTCTCCATGGAGGAATACCAGTTTCCCAGAATCCTCAGAGGAAGGCCACGCCCACACAGAGGTCTCATTGGCTAAGACCTGGTTGACAGGCTAGACTCCACCCATTCACTTTTAATCCTCAAATTGACACAGATCATGTAACCACCACAGCCGGTGACATTCCAGGCAGAGTGAACTGAGGGTGTAGAATCTCAGGAGCAGCAAGGACTGCATGTGGAGACGAAGGTGAAGGTTGTTGATGGGCACCGAGGGCCTGGAGGCCATGCGGAGCCCACAGGCTGCATGGTGGGCTAAGCACTCCACCAACAGTCACCTGTAAGTCTCATCATTTCACCGCGAGGTAACAAACAAACAATAACAACAAACCCCTGTCAGTTTTGACTCAGCAACTCAAGCAAAAAAACAAAAACCTGTTGATTCTGACTCATTCCGAGGCTGTAAATCTTATTTTTTGGTGTTGGTGGGGGCTGTAAATCTTCACAGGAGCAGACAGCCTCATCTCTCTATCACAGAGCAGCTGGTAGATTCGAACCCGCAGCCTTGTGGTCAGTAGGCCAGCGCTTACCTGAAACAGGCACAATCAAAACTCCACTTACATGTGGATCCCTTCCTTTAATGACAGTACTATTGCTTCTAAGGAGCCCTGGTGCTACAGTAGATTATACATTGGGCTACTAACCAGAAGGTCAGCAGTTCTAAACCACCAGCCGCTCCAAGGGAGAAAGATGAGGCTGTCTGCTCCCGTAGAGAGCTGCAGCCTAGCAAACCCAAAGGGGCAGCCCTGCTCTGCCCTCCAGGGTGGACACAAGGTGGAGTGGACCCGATGACAGTGGTAGCAGAGGCTTAGAAGGCTAAGTGACTTGTCCAACGTCCCCAAGCTCCTCAGTGGTACAGCCAGGCGTGGACTCCCCTCTCTGGACCCTGCCCACCCCCTCTGAGAGCAGCAGGGCAGAAGTGATATCTCTGATTACTGCGTGGGTGGGAGGGTGGCATTGCCCTTGCTCAGCCCCAAAGGGGTGGCCACATGTTCTACTGGATGGGGGGGG